CCTCAGGGAGAAACAAGCTGAACCCTGAAGAGATCAGGCTGGGTGAGGAGGCACCAGGCAGAGGGAGCAGCAGAGCCAGGGGCTGTCACAGTCCACAGTGCGTGTGACATCTCACCTCATGCTCATTTGGTGGTTGCTCTGCCGCACAGTGTCAGGACAGGAGGGCAGAGAGAAACCCTTCTGAGTTACATTGAGCCTTCAGAGTGCACTGTGGAGACTGTCTGAGGCTTTAGGGTGGGGCAGTGGGCCTGCAAGGACAGAAGTCAGGGCCACAGAGCTGACAGAAGTCCTCTGAGGAAATGTCAACTGCAGTGTTTCTGATGGCAGAGGTCAGGCGGATTTGACCTCCTGAGGTGTAGAAATCCAGGGACAAGAGGAAAGAAAATAACTCCCAGAGACCCTAAAAGCTGACATCTGGGTGTGGGCAGAGAGAGCACGTGTGCAAGTGAGTAACAGAGCAGGCAAAATTGGCAGCTCAGCTGTGACGCATGAAGAGATTTCTAGATGTTTTTGTGTCCAGATTCCATGGAAATGTCTTCTTACGTCTTTTGAAGTAATTGAAGCGAATTGTGCACTAAATCTTAATAAATGTGTAAAAATTCTCAGTTTTCATACAAATTAGATCAACTCACCGCCCCATCCTCCCCTACTGGCAGCCTGTCTTGAAGACTGTGCCGTTACCTAGAGGTAAATACTGTTTGTGTCCTTTGCTATTATCCATCTATACACAAGGTTTGACATTACGTTAAAAATTATAAAACATACCGTGAGGCAAGGAACTGTGGCCAATGGTAATGGCAGGAAACAATTGGTGCAAACAGAACCAGAGATTGTCGAGATGTTCATCTTTAAAAACTATAACTATAAGAGAGATACTATAAATTAAATATAAAAAATATGTCACAGTTGTAAATGGTATACCATGTATGAACTGTTGGGAAGTTTTCATGAGCACATAGAAACTATTAAATGGATCTAAGTAGAAATACAAAAAATGAAAGATACAAAACCAGANTGCAAAGATTTAAGAATCATGCAAAAACAGGGAAATGACTCCCCCCAAAGAAGATACAATTCTCTATTACCAGACCCCAGACAACAGGAAATTGATGAATTGCCTGAGGGGGAATCTCAAAGGGCAATACTAAGGAAACTCAAAATGATAGAAAAAAAAATTAGAAATCACAATGAAGTCAAAAAGAAATTCTAGCACATGAATGAGAAACAGAATTAAGAGATACAGAAAATAAAAAAATCAAGCAGAATCTTGGAACATTACAATTTATTCAAAGAAATAAAGACTAAAACAGCATAAACAGCAGGCTAGAAAAAGCAAAAGAAAGAACCTCCAAAGTATAAGACAGGCTTTTGGAATTAACTCAATTGGTTTCCCCTCAAATAAGAAAAAAATAAATGTTTTAAAAATGAAGTAAAGCTGTGAAATCTTTCTGATAACCTTAAGCATACAAATATCTATATTATAAGTGTACAAGAATGGAAATAGAAAGGAAAAGGCAATGAAGGCCTATTTAATCATACAATAGCTGAATACTTCCCAAATTTTGGGAGAGATACAGTCATATAGATCCAAGAGGCTAAAAGATTTNCTCTGTGTATATCTGCTCCCAGACCAACAGCAGACTAGGTAGGGGCTCTGACACCTCACGTCAGGTTTCTGTAGAGCTCCTGGCCTCAGCTGTACCCTTACAGGCTTGCATCAGGCTCAACAACTGATCAGATGGCCAACTGCAGAGCTACCAGGCCCTACAGCATCTATGTACACCTACAACCAAGCCAACATTTATTGAATAGCAGCTTTGTCTCCCTACAGCACACCTGTAGAAAGCTACTGGGCCCTACAGCATTCATATAGGCTTGGTTGAGGCTCAACAGCTGAGCCAGTGGCCTTATGCAGAGCTACCAGGACCTTCCACAGCAGTATATATCTGCTCACTGACCAACAGTGATCACCCAACCCAAAAGAAACTGCTGAGGGCCCCATGCCCTAGCCAACAAAGGCACCCACAGGGAACTCCAAGACTGAATACAGTTGGTAAGTTGCATGAAGTCTGCACCACTGCACTCATTCAGTTCCAAACTTAAAATGCCCAGTCTAACTGTTAATATAGAATATTGTTGCTTTGCCCACCATGGATCTGTCGCCCCTTTCCCCCTGGGTTACAGAGCTGCAAAGGATTACTCAAAACCCATCTCTTCTGAACAGTGAGAAGCCCCAAAGTGTTTAACTTCCTTGGAACCCTCAAGCAAGAGGCACTCCTTTCTTGGGATATTAACCCCAAATTGGGGTTCTCTTCCTGCATTTATTTTTCAGCCCAGGAAGTTACAGGAAGATAACTAGGTGGGGTTATAGGTTAACAATGTAGGCTGGCAACTCAATGAAAACAAGCCAGATGACATTCCAGTAGACAATTTAAGTGAGCCATCAATGAAAGCTTGATCTTAGCAAATATTCCCTTCTTAAAGCAGTTTCTCAGTATCTTTAC